GGCTGCACGTGGACGGTCTCTAACTCAGAATTACCGTCGATCCAACATCAAATATTCAACACTATATTTGCAGAAGCCGGAAACTAGTTTGCACTCGAACATTTTTATTTTACTGTACATGTGTGTGGCAGCCTGAACGGAATTAGAATATGTATTTGTAAAGCAATGCTGGCGAATGTTTCTCGATACATTATTGGAATATTGCTGTTTGGTAATATAGGAATGTTGAACCTGAGATTTTTCGTGCTCAGAAAAATAGTAAATGTAATTTTAGTATTGGTAAGGTCAAGAACGCCTCAAAATGGGATTTTAAAGCTTTCAAATCTGATGCGTCTTTCACTCAGAGGTACAATCAGAAAGTGTTTTATTTCATATATTGTACATAAATAAAGGAGGATACAGGTGGACAAATACCAAGTCGACAATTTTCAGGATTTTGAGTAAAAACTCTCTGCTATAGACTGTGAAAGTTGCAACAGTGTGCTTGCTCTAGATTAGAAGTCGCGATTTTTTGAAGCAAAGAGTTTCTTTTGTCGAAAACGTCGATTTTTATGCCAACTATTACCAAGCCGACAAAAGTCGGAGCTTTTTGACCATTAATTGAAATTTGAAGGATTTTGAGAAACGCCTGTCTGCTATAGACTGTGAAAGTTTCAAGAGTCTGCTTGCTGCAGATTAGAAGTCGCGATTTTTTGAAACAAATCGTTCGTTTTTTACTTTTACCAAGCCGACAAAACTCAAAGTTTTTGTCAATTTGAGCGAAATTTTCAGAATTTTGAGAAACGACTGTCTTATAAAGACTGTGAACGTTTCAAGAGTCTGCTTACTCTAGACTAGAAGTTGAGATTTTTTGAAGCAACGAGTGGATTTAGTCGAAAACGCCCATTTCTCTGCCAACTTTTACCAAGCCGACAAAAATCAGAGCTTTTTGACCATTTAATTGAAATTTTGCGAATTTTGAGAAACCACTGTCTGCTATAGACTGTGAAAGTTTCAAGGGTCTACTTGCTCTAGATTAGAAGTCGCGATTTTTTGAAGCAACGAGTTTCTTTTGTTGAAAACGTCCCTTTTTATGCCAACTTTTACCAAGCCGACAAAACCCAAACTTTTTTGGCAATTTGTTTTTTGGCAATCAAAGTTTCCTGGTTTCGCTACTAACAATAACTGATGATCTTCAGTCAGACAGAGGACATTCTTTTCTTCATTATCTGCTAAATCTGCAAATACCTCAAAAGATTAAAGAATCGGCTGATCCGATTGGAAAATTGATATTTTTATTATTATTGTTCATTATTACATGTGTTCATTTCCGCATTTTTTCATTTATGGAAATTTAAAGCATATTTGTTAGTAGTATTATATTGGGAGCAATGTAACTTTTGAATATAATTTGAGGACAAAAGTAAATGTCTAAAACTAATTCACAGATACGCTTTTAAAATAAAAGCATTTGAAGCTCAATTGATTAAGGCTTGATTAGGCCTCAATGCATTCTGAAAATTAGGAACAGAAAAACACTAAGCCCGAGCTAAAATTGCTAGTAATGAAGCAGACGGCTCTTATTAAAATGTTTCGCAATGAACAGCAGAAATGACAGGAATTTGGGAAAAATGAAAACTTTCCTGTTTTGGCTACTCATTATAACCAGACGGAAACTGAATAGTTTCCCTTTACTACTGCACCAGCCGAAACAAATGTCATTAAGTCCTCTGTACCGTATATTCGAAAAGTTTCCATGTAATTCTGTCCGTTGCGGCATATAAAGCTCAAACGATGTTATTGTTGGGCCGTTTTAATTACTTTCGCAACTGGAATTTTACTAAGTTCCGAAAGTTCTAACGTAAAAATATGACCTGGTTCGTTTCATTCGCGGTCGATGGTAGGTATCCCCTAGGAATTTTTTCATGTCACATTTCCAGCGTTAAAGCGTCAAAGCCAAAAGAACTATTAGGATTCCATATTAACGAGTTTCGTTGTTAACAGCCTTGGGAAAACTGCAGTTTTGTGGATAGTTTTTAGAGACACTTTGTCCAGGTGGATTCGAAGAGCTCAAACCATACGCATCTTAATCCGGTTCGAAGTACCAAAATGTGAAAGTTTTCTTTTCTGACTCTCGACAAATCGCGTTGAGGGCTGTTTGTTTTAAGCGCCAAAAGTTGCTGGATATTGGTTTTAAAAGAACACAATTTCTGTTAAAAATGTTAATATTTCTATTCGTGTTCAAGTTTTTTTTCTGAAAAATCGCTGGCCAATTAAGGTCAGTGCTCTATTATTGAGGCGAGAGATTGCTTTTCACTGTGGCGGCATGATTTCGATTGTGACATAAAATTAGCACAGAGCATTTTCGACTGGATGATTATTAATCAGTCATCCATACTCTGAAAATAGCATTAAATCTTTGAAGGCTTTAGCCGATGAGTTTTGAAATATCTCCCTTTTAAGCTGGGAGAGTTCAATTATCTATCCAATTCCAGTTTTTTCTACTTTCTGTTGCATGTAGCGAAACTCGATGCTTCTCATTCTCTTTGACATGAACGCAAACAGTTATTTTCCTACGAGCGGTTTAATAAATATCGGCAAAAATTAGGAAATAAAACATGCTTCGGTCAGAGAAAATCCCGCTTTGATTAGAGCGACTTTGCTCTAAAATCATCAAGTTTAAATTGGCGTTCGCCTCATTCAAATTGAACCCACATCACCACCTTTCCTGCAAAATATGGAGCGCATCGGTGTCCCTGCCGGAAAGATTCCTCTTAACCGACAACAAGCTCGCAATTCGCATTTTCCATTTCCCGTAAAATGTAAAACGAAGAAAAGTTTTTAAGATCCCGTATCTCGACGTTTGGATTTTTTTGAATTGATTTCCACATCACCGCATATCGGATTTCAATTCTTCTTTTTAACTGTGGCACCTTTGCTCCGATCGAGCAAGTGTCTGGAAAGTTATTTTCTATCCACCAAAGCGCACGGCTGCTGGAGGAAAAGTTTCAGAGAAGGAATGTTAATTGGGAAATTTATTTCCCTAAAACCAACACTTTTCGTGCGTCAACTACATCGAAAATTTATGTTTGAAAAATCGACATTTTTGTTCTTGGAGGCAGCTGATGGTATAGCCAAATATGGGAGAATCAGGAACAGATATTAAATTTTCGGGTGCGTTTGCTGTCCAAATCGGACAACGTTAAATGATCATTTCATCTTCAAATTGATTGCACGCTTCCATTAATTTATCGCTTCTCCAATTAAAAAATTCTCTTTCCAGTTAGGAACATCTCGGAAAACCTTTCTCCAGTAAACCTATGCGACCTTAAAGGATTCCTTCCTCCTTTTTCAGCTGCTTTATATTTCCTAAATATACCGAACTGGCTTTTAGCTTTTTCCTAGACAATTTCCTGAACGTTGTTGCCCCTTTGATAGTTCGCAAAATGGGATGTGAAGCTCGAGATTTATGCCCGAGATTAAGGAAACGATTATGCCTGCCGAATAAATATCAGCAAAAACGCGCTAGTTGCGGCAGAAAGGATTATTTCAGCAGAAGTTCACTGATACGGAAAATTATTATTGTTTTATTCGTTGGAATACCATTTTCGATGAGCTGTTTAAAGGTAATTCAGTTTTCGTAGGTTTACAATTGTTCAATCGCAATCTATATTTTTATGCTTTCAAGTACCAATCTAACAGTGTTACTAAATTTGAAAATATTAAAATGCCCTAATATTTTGATAAAAAACGGTATACTTATTTTTTGCTCTTACGGTTTTTGAAATAAAAAATCAACGTGCACCATTTTTGCAGCAAAAAAATTAATCCATTTACCTGCTTCATCAAATTTCCCAATTTAGTAGATTCACCGTTAGATTTGTATTTGTATTTATTATAAACTTTTAATTTCACTGTGCCTGTACAAAACCAGAATTTTCGAAAAAATTGTCATTCCTAGTTCCTATGAGTTACTTTTGTTGCAAACATTCCACAAACCCCAAGTAAACGTTTGATTTATTACGAAAAACCTTCATTTTTGCACTTGATACTTTCGAGTCATCACTTTTCATCACATTTCAATAATTCCACAAATTATTGGCCAGATCGGGGAAAAAATTAAATAAAGCACTGGTCTTATTTCCAGGTCTTCTGTACGCCCCATCATTGTTGGCGAATAATTTCGGAACACCCTCTATAAGTGTGGCTAACAACCATAAAACTATAATAAGTTCAATGGCAATAAAAGAGCGCCCAATTTATCAAAAGTTTCATTTGAAGACGAATCCAACGCATCCAACGCACAAAAGTGGAAATAAAATCCGCAAATCGGGGTCTTCATCGATATCTTGTACAGATCAATTTCTTGTTGAAAATTGGCGGAACCTTCTTCAGGAACATTTTTGCCAGCAAAGCGTTTTAACCAAAACGTATTTTTTCCGCCCATTGCTTGAAGCTGGTGAGTTTGTCTGGGGTAAAAATCACCAGCTTTTTCTTTCATAAATTATGCATATTTATTATGTGTTTATTATCCTTTATGTCTTCTTCCACTTTAGTGTCCTTTTCAGATACAACGTTTCAACTGTTAATAGCAATTGCGAGATTGATTAAGCTTTTTCAGTAATAATGTTGACTTCAAAACACCCTAATCCACTGTAATCAGCATATTGTAGGTTGTTGATACCCGCATTTGCCAACAAATCAAGCAAACCTCTTGTCGGCCTAGTTGCTAGTAGAAATTTAACAAAAATGTGACCAAATTTCTCCGATGTTTCAACCATTGGTCGTTAAATTAATGCTTCGGAATGCTGATTTCCAGATCTTTTTGAAACCAAACCACGTAGCTGCGTTAATCTTTGAGTCAACGCGATATCTCAATAGACGCCAAACAATCCCGTAATATTTGAAAATTCAACAGGAGATTTTTGAGGGCTGTAGGAAAAGCGCATGATCCTCGTCTATGAGCTTCTGAAAACTGTAATAAGGACTCGATTCTGTGCGACAAACGTTCAGTCGCTTCCAGATTTTTGAGGGTTGGTTCTGCGACGCTTCTGATCGATCTTGCGCCGCGGACACGCGAACCAAGTTGCAGTAGTGAAAACTGTTTTTTTGTTTATGTTTATCGAAGCTTCAGCTTCCATTAACTTGAAAAAGTGAAGTGAATTATTGTGCTGGAAGTTTATTTTAAGCGGTGTCTTTTACGGAGCAGCTTGTGATTCTTCTCGCATTGGAGGTAGGAAGTTTTCTTATTGCGCCAAATGCAGTGGAAGTTTCCGGCAATTTTCGCGAAAGTTGATTTATGTTTCCTAAGCAAACTCATATGCAGATCTGCATTTACGGGGCTTGAATAATTTATTACCATTTGCAAGTGCAACATTGATTTGTAATTTGAACCCCACTGGTTCACCATGGTCGGTCTTAAAATGATGCTTTACTTGAAAAGTTTCTAGCCCCAAATCGTGGGGGGCAAATTTTGATTTTGGCAAGGAAAAAGTCCTACCAAGCAGTAAACTCCAAAACCACTTGGTTCCACAGACAAACAATAAAACAAGGTCTTAATTAGACTATTATTTTGAATCATTTTAAAATTGATGAACGTTGTATATACTCAAATGCTCAAAGTAGCTGAAATGCAGCATAAAAATGCAATTTACAAAACATGAAACCGCCGAATACAATCAATAAGCTGAGTTATGTTCAGTCGAAACAAAACGCCGTCTGGCTTTTGGGATTTTCATTTCACCATAGCGCCTGAATAGGAATTTTATAAATAATATCTCGCATTAATTATTGATGAAACTTTCACGTCCAAGTCCCTAATTGAAAGAGGAACTTTAACCTTAAAAGACTCTAGTTATTAGGGATAAATCAAAAAGCACGTTTTCCAAATTGCCTAATTAAGTAAGTGTAATTTTTTACATAATTGCCTATACTTGACCTTAAAGTGTCTCTTGGATTTTTTATTATTCCACAGTATCTTCCCTAAACTAAAATTAACGCAGCGCCAATGGCTTAGTGAATAATAAATAAACTAATTGAGGAAAAAAAAATGACAAACCACTTCAATAATTTAGACCGAAAAAATGTAACTTTATGAGTTGAACACAATAGATGCAGTGTCAGGCTTAGTAAAGATTCTTCTGACTATCGCTGGACTTAAATGTCTGGAAGCAAAGCTACATTTATTAAAAATCCAGTTTATTTCCCAGGAATGAACATTATTTGAAACCACCCTGAACATGCCAACTAATTGCGATCTATCGATCAAAAAAAGACTTCCATATCAATTAGCCCCATAACCGATATTTGGAGGTTTTACGTGAAACAAATATTGCAGCGCGACAAATAGTATTGAACTGAATATTTCATTATTTGTCCATTATGATCGGAATTACATGACTAATGCAATTCGGCAATCAAATTACTATTTCAGCGGCTATTTTTAATAATTTCGGAAATATGTTTAATACGATTTTTAAATCGAATTATGTCGCGCTGCTTTAATTAGTCTAATTGGGGGTTTCAGGTGCGCCAATTCATTATGGAAATGTGGGTTTACAAGGTTTATTGCATAATAATTCAGTTCGAAAGAAGTTAATAATTGGCAAATGAAATAATTGCCTCAAGTTTCCTGTTTTTTCAGAACAAACAATTTTTCGTTGGCTCTTCATAAAAAAATGTGCAACTTCTCCACCAGGGCAAACAGAAACTTGAAGTTTTGAACGCGTATAGAATAAAAGGTGCATAAAATGCTCCGATTTTCACTAAACTCGTACTATATCCTGATTTTTGTGAACTTTATAAATGACAGACCCAAAATTAACATTTTCGCCGCCCAGATATTCGCTTTATCTTTAACTTTCTTAACTCTCAAACTAGGGCAAGTAGACTTAAAATGTTCACACGCCACAGGCCACGCTCGGCAGTAAAACATAGTCTAGCTCTCATGCAAGTGGAAGAAATCTCGATTTTTCCAAACTATGTGAAAACAGAGTAAAAATGAAGATTTTCAGTCAGATGTTCGCTTTCTTAAAATTGCAACTCACCAACTGGCCCAAGTTCAATTTTTAACTACAAAACTAAGACAAGTAGCTACTTGAAATTTTCAGACCCCGTAGCCAACACTTTGGCGTTGTGTATAATATTTCCCTCCTTTTTGTAAAAATAGTGCGAATGACACGTTGTAAATGACAGTCTCAAAATAGAGGTTTTTACCTAGATGATCGTTCTGTGTTAAAACTTCGCAACTACAAAAATAGGACTAACAGCGATTTGAAATTTTCGCACACTGAAGCCAAAACTCTGCACTTGAAACGCTCGTTATTTCAGTATAGTCGCATTTAGTGTTGATTTTTGCAAACTAAGTGAGGGTTTCAAATGAAAGGTTTCTCCCAGGTGTTCACTTTCATCAACAAATTCGCAACTTCCAAACTGGTGCATGTAGCGACTTGAAATTCTCACAATCGATAGCCAACACCGGACAACATAACGAACGGCTTAACATTCTCCATTATTCCTTAAAATAGAGGTAAAACCTGATTTTTGCACAAAATGAGAAAAACGGTCTCAAATGGTTAACCTAGATGTTCGCTTTCGTTTAAAATTTCGTAAGTCCCAAATGGGGGCAGTTAACGACTTGCAATTGTTTGAACCGACAGACAAAACTATACGGTTGTAATTGGAGAATTTTCCCTAAAATGGCCCTTATTTCTATTTACTTTATAAATGACGCTCCTCAAACAAACGTTTTTTCTTAGATGTTCGCGCTCGTTTAAAAATTTTCAACTCCCACCAGTAACAAGCAGGTAGCAACTAGTAACATGAAATTTTCACCATCTGTGACTTATACACCAAGCTTGAAATCCTAAATTTTTCATTAAAATCGTGTAAAATCCTAACTTTTCAGAACTTTTTAAATAGCCGACGCAAATTAAAGATTTTTCCAGTTTCGGATTTTTTTAAATGAGTAACTTCAAAACTATTAGAAGTAGCAACTTGAATATTTCACACTATAACCAACACTTTGCGCTTAACAAGCCCCAATTTTCAATAAAGTCACCTTAAATCATGATTTTTGAGTGCTTTGTAAATTACAGTTGCAATTTTTTTCACCTACTGTTTACTTTATTCAAAAAATTCAAAATTCCCAAACTAGTGGCAAGTAGCGACTTGCAATTTTCCCACTCCTTAGCCAACGCTTGGCCGTTGTAACTCTAAAATGTTCGTTAATATCACGTTAGATCTCGATTTTTGCAAACTTTGTAAATGGCAGTATGGAAGTTTTTACCTTGGTGTTTGCTCTCATTTAAAAATTCGTAACTTCCCAAGGAAGACAAATAACCACATGGCATTTTCACACTCCATAGGCAACAGTTGGTGTTTATATAGCACAAATTTCGTTAAAATCGCAGTAAACTCGAATTTTTGGGTACGGTTTAAGACACTTTTGAAACGAAGGTTTTCGCAAAAAATCGAGATACTCAAATTATTGAAATTATGCCTCACTGTAGCTGATACCTGGGATAAAACGCCAAAGCTATCCTAAAAAAATCTGTTAGTTATTTAATTAACAAAAAGGAAGAACAAAGTTAAACGTAGCCCTTCAATCAACATTTAACCCTTTTTGGCCAGTTTTCATATTGTTGTCGAAAGCTCCCTTTTATGTATTGGGCTTATAAACGTAACCGTAATTGAAATACAGTATTTAGGAAGCGAATTACAGTTTGATTTTTCAATTTTTCGATAATTAAACTGCCATTGCTCTGGAATTTCACGGAATGCAGAGATATAAACGCTAAACGGCAAAACGCATTTTTTTGAAAGAGTTACGGGAATTTTTATTTATATAGGTTTTTTTAATTTGCTTTGTTCGTTTTGAGTGGTAATCCATAGAGGTGCATTGAAAGCAAATCCGTGCTATAAATTCAAATTATCGCCATTTAATTAATCGGATTCAAATGCAGAAATAGCTGGACAAGTCTGAACTAGTGAACATGTTGCAAATCCGTTTACCATAAAGCTAGCTGGAAATGTATGTATTTATAATAATGTAATTGCCTTTGTTTGGATTAGCATAGTAAGTTGCACGTACACGTTCCCAATTTAAAATTGAATTTTAAAAATTAATCTAACCATGTTAGAGTGGGTTGCATGCCATTAAATAGATTGCCATATTTTCTCATATTTATTGCCGGTAATTTAAAATGAAAAACAGTACAACTGCACATGTTTGGATCATAATACTGAAGCGATTTGCACAAAATGGACGTGGTGCGGCTCGTTGGACTGAAGTGAAATGAAGTTACAATTGGAAATATTCGCCAAATATTCAGCATTTTTCATTCATTTCTTTTTAATATTAAATGAGCTTTGTTGGTGTCGATTTTGATTGGATGCGGTTGGCTTATTTGTTCATTGTTCCGTCAACCTTTTTTATTCGTAATTTATTTGTAAATTAGGAGTGAATGCATGAAATATCTCACAATGGTTCAAGCTAATATGGAGTTTGGGAAAAATGGTTGAAATAATCAACTAAAATTACAAAAACGGTTATACGATGGACGACAAATTGAGCGTATTATTCACATTAATTCAATTTTTATTTAAAATCCCAGATTATTAGTTTGGAGCATTCATTAGAGGTTTTTTCACCTGTTCCAACAAAACACTTGTCATCTTCGAGGGTTCACAATTATTGTTTAATTGTCTTGAAAACAAATCACTTTAAACCCGAGTTTTATTCTGTAGGGCACGCTATATTAGAGCATTTTTGCTTACCCAAAAATTATAACCAAAGTCGTGTATTTTAAAGAGTTAGCCGCTGTTGGTGGGGCTCTAAAAGTATATGCATTAGAAGAAATTACTGCAGAAAACCAAACTGCACTCAAGCGGGAAGTAAATGATCAAAAAATGCCATAAAAAACGCGAAAAATTGACATGTTATAATCATTCAATAGGCTTTTTGCATCGTAGTTAGAAAATAATAAAAATGTTAGAAAATTGCTTCGGAATAATTCTTGATAGAAGAGTAAATTTTGAAAAATTTTCCTGGGACTGAGTCGGGTTTACAAAGAACTCTAATCACAGTTTGGCCAACAAGTAAGTTGCTAAAAAGTTTCATTTTCACACAGTTAGCTGACTGTTGATCATTTTCCTCCATGAGCTGGTGAATCGACCCAGAAAAAATCGATGCCCGCAAACCAGTTGAGCGAATATGAATCGGAATAAAATGGA